TTCCTACAAAAGACAGAAAAGTGACAGAGATGCCCACTATACACTGTTCATTTAATTTCATGATAGAAGCACCAGCAAATGCATTTATAGAAGCTATAAATGTTAGAAGAGGATATTAAAATTATCACTATTGGCAAATGATTAGACTGTATACCAGGGTTCTAGCGTGAGCTTCACACTAACTATAGGATTTAATAAAGTGATGGGGAGTGAAAAATATGTAGAAATAAATAGTGTTAAATATGTATGTATATTTGTAAATATATAACTTAGCTAATTTACGTCTTTCCATTATGAATTTCAGTTTTAGGAATCCTAATAGTGCATATTTAAATACACAGAAAGGCACAATGTAAGATATATTTTAATGACTCATCTATGTCTGCATTTGAAATGCTTTGTAACAGAGACTGTTAATGCCAAAAAAGTAATCACCCAGAAAGAATTTTTAATGGAATCTAGCTTTTTGAAAAGTTTTCAGTTAGCTTATAGCATTGCTATAAATTGGTCCTCTGTATTCACAAGCACAGATTTTTAACATTTTGTAATTGTTTAAAATATTAAAATTTGCTTTAAGATAATCCTTTAATTCAATGCATAAGCCTCTACTCACCAGGAAAGAATTTTTTGGTAGACAATTGTTTTGAAGTATGGTTAATAATTCTTGGCTTCAGTCTCTTCCCCATTTGAGCAAAGGTAGTGGTATGCTTCTTCAGTATACAGCTGTGTAGGCTGTTAGAAGTCAGGAATCATTTATCAGAAGAGTTGTTTACAGATAATGTATTTGGCTAAAGGGCCTGGGATGAGAGTTTGTGTATGTTAATGTTTTGGAGTGTTTTTCTGGGTGATTCTTTGCTTTAGTTAATGTCTGCAGTTTTGTGATTTTATTATATTTAAGACACATATATAAATATTCTTTCATGCAGCTGAATAGGATGGAAAGAAATGTGGCTTAGCATGTCCTTTAATATTTAAGTTTGTCAACCAGACTTTATAAGTACAAAATTAGAAGGGAGTTTGTTTGCTTTTTAAGGTATGGTAAGGAAAGAGAACCACATTATTTTCACACTAAGCGTTCAAGAATCTATATCTGCATGCTCTCACCTTTATCTCCTAATGTAATTTAAACTTAGCTCCTAAAGACCCTGATTCAAGGAAAATACTATTAGTGCTTGTCTCTAAGCTCTGAATTTTCCAGCCTTTGGGCTTGGAATGTGGAGGAGATAAAAGAAAACAGACCTAAGCATCTGCAAACATGAACTCAGACCTTCCCCACAATAGCATCACGCAGGACTCCCTCAGCTTCCAGATCACGCTTTAAAATGCCTTTCACTTGAATTTGGGTTCATCTTTTAAGGGAGCACAGATATTCTAAACTCTTAAACACAGGTAGAAAAGAGACTAAAATACCTAACATCTGAGTCTTTATCTCATGATTTTATGTTTAACATGCTTTTTAGAATAGTAGCATAGAAAATGGAATAGAAAGGTGTATTTCTGAAGCTAGTCCTAAATAATCCTAAGAAAGACTTTAGATTGTTCTTGGAATAGTAAGTGGTCTTATATTGTTTCTTTGTACATATTCCTGAAGATTTCTTCTGTCAAAGTTTTTATTTAGCCTGGTAATTTTCTTTACACACATGTGCTCACTTCCACACATGCACACTTGGTTTTTTCTTTCTGAAGGAATCAGAAGTCAGTAACATCTTGAGGTGGGATGTAGTGATAGAAAGTGGGTATAAGGGGGATGGCCTATTGCAGGGGTTTTTGTTGGAGGAACTGTTGGCCATATTTTAATATTATTAAAAAAAACTAAACTATAATAATATATAAATTGCTAAATAAAATGAGAGGGTCCATGATTATTGTTTAAGGTATTATGTATTCATTGTAGAGTAAGTTGAAAATATAGGAAAGCACATTGAAGAAAAACTATGACCAGCAGACCAGTCTCAGTGATTTCGTGATAACATCTTTATTGTTCTGTTATGGATTGTCTCATTCCAAAATAAAATACATCTGTGTAAATGTATGAATTCTTAGATTTTTGACACAACAGTTTGTATTATTTTTAAACCTGTCTTTAAAATTTTAACAATATATTGTAAATGCTTTTCCAGATCCTTAATTATTTGCTTTCATTCCTTTTTTTTTAAAATGTTACCAATGGATTATTTTAATTGGGATAAGTGATACACACTAGGTATATATTATACTTGCACACAGTATAATTCTTGCCATGAATATAAAATGGTTATGACAACAGGCACATATATTGCAGGTCAAGAATATATTCAGAATTCTTCATTTAAGAATGCATAAATTCTAAGATTAATTAAGGATAAATAATTTCCAAGACAGAATACATTGAAATATCAAGATTTGATTAAACTTACAGATACATAGTTTTTAAATAAAGCAAAACTAAAACTATTGTCTTTCCATCCCCTAGATGATTTATTAAAATGTAGTAATCATCTTATCCTTTAATGAAGAAGTATTCTTATAACTTTCTAAAGCAATTTTACTCTATTCTTATCTCTTCTATCCAGTGATTAGTTCCTTAAGGTCAACTGTTAAACTATTGAATTAACACCTTCATTGCTAGCCCTTAATCAAAATCACTACTCTGGTGTCCTAACATAATTGGCATCCTAAATCACCTTTCATGCCTGTCATCTACACAGCAGCCAGAGGAGTCTTCAAAAATAGTCATTTACTCCACCGCTTAATTTTTCAATCACTTCTCAGTACACTTAAATTAAAGCCAAGCAGTTTAAGTCACTCAATATAAGGATCTAAGTAAACAGAGCCCCTAATTTTCTCTGACATCAGCTTCTTCTTTGGTTTTCTATTCTTCTAATTTTTTCCTCACTGTGCTTCAGTTTAAATATTCTCTGCTCATTTGTCTTCCAGTTAACCCATCTTATTTTTTCCTGTATCCAGCATTCTATTTGAGATACTGTGATTGATTCAGAAAGTTTTATATAACTTGTTCTAATAAAAGATAATGCTTGGTGAAATCCATCTCTTAAACTTTTTGTCATTTGTTTACTCAATTTTTGAACATTCTCATAACTCCTGTCAAGTACTTATTTGATCATTTCAGTATCTAGATTGTGGGTCCATTTCAATTATCTTTTTTTTTCCAGCTTGCTTTTAGTATGTTCCTGCCTCTTGGTATGCCTATCAATTATTTTATTGGATGTTACATACATCTTTAATTTTTTAAGCATCCTGGTTATGTGCTTTCTTTCTTTTTAATTGCTGCATGGTGTTCTAACTTATTGATATACGTAGGTAGGTAGGTAGGTGGGTAGGTAGATAGATAGTCTTAACTTTCTCAGTAATTCCTTGTAGGTAAATCTTCACACAGCCGTATGATTTCTAGTTACAGAGTTGCTGGATCAAAAACAAGTTACTTTTTTTAAAGCATAGTAAAATTACCTCCAGGAAAAGTTGTGCTTGGTTTATGATCATTACAGTGTGTGATTCTCCCTTTATTGCCTGTGTGGGGCTGTGCAGGTTCATTCATTGTGGTATAATAGACAAAACCTGTGGATAGGGCAAATCTCAGACCCACATTTGTGGAAATGAGGAGAAAACAATCTGAAAACTAGGTTTATCTCATACCTATCTAGATTGGCATCATGCAGCAGTCAGTAATTTAGCACAGGTGAATGGGATTTTTGGATATTGGGGTGCTGGGGTTTATTATGATAGGTGGGCTGTTTGCCATCCTTGGTTGAAATCTTTTCCACTAATAGATTTAAATGTGTTCTGCCTACTGGCTGGTCTAGTGTTCTGTTGGAAGAATATGTAAAACTGAGCATTTGTTAGATTAAAATATGCTTAAAAGTAGATGTCCAGCTACGTTTATTGAAAGATGAGGGATGACTGAGTTACCTGAAAACTCTAAATCCAGCAAAAATATTATACAAAAATTTTCTGAATGTTTACTAAGAATCTTGTTTCAGTGTGCAGAAGTACTTTGCTGGCACACTGGTGGTTTTGTGATTTTCACTTTTTGGATCTTGAGAGGATGAAAAGAAGAGGAGAGGCAAATAATTGGCAAGAAAAGCAAATGGTTACAAGGTTGTTAACAATGCAGCCTTGTTTATGCACTCTTGGCTTGTCTGGAGTTTTGAAACTGGATTCCTTAGCTCTCTGAGCTAGTTAGCACAAGAGCCCTTCTTTCCCTACGATGCTTGGAATTGTAAGCATGCCGTAGAGAACATGGTCATGTATATCTTAGTTGGCTGAGTGTATCCTGTCACTGTTAAGACTTGGAGTAAAGGGATAATAATGAGAATGGCTTATCAGTGAGTGTCTCTGGAATTGATTCTTAAGTTTGTGTCATTGCGCATTTCAGAGTGAAGAGGTTACAAGGCTCAAAAGGCCATTACTCTTGAAAACAGAAGTCTGCTAGTCACAATGCTAACATTTTTATTTTTTTTGTAAAGCAAAGGAGCAAAGCTGCTTTTTTTATAGATAGGGGACTTGATTATGAGAGATCTAATGCTGTTGGCTGTTCTAGTAGTATGTAGGCTACTTCTGAGTAGTGTCTATTTTGTAATGTTTAAATGACATTGTTATTTCACCTAATTTTTCACTGTGATCTGTCAGTAAAGCTTGCATTTTTAGTACAAGAATGAACCAAGATAAGGATACTTTTCTTCTAATTTTAACAGTTTTGAAATAGTTAATTGGGGGGGAGGGTAGTAAAAAATACTAAGGGTAAGATATGGTCCTTGTCACCAAGGGAGCAGAGGAACTGTTCTTAGAAGTCACATTAACTAGTTTTAGGTCTGTTTTTGCTCATGTTTTATAACTTACTGTGGCTTTTGGGCAGATAACCCCCTCCCCCATTTTCATGCTCACTTTTGTTTTTCTCATGAAATGATGTTTATCGTCAGAAACATGCTGAAAATTAACTTTAATAATTAAAATGTTAAGTTCTGTCATCTACTTAATGACTGGATTTTTTTTTCTGTTTTCAGCATTGGTTGGATGGTACAAAGAGCATCAAAAAGCAAGTAAAAAGTACGTGTTGAAAAAAACAAATTATATGTAATTATGTATTAGAAACTCTGATTCATAATAGTAAAGACATAGAAATCATGTTTCAGATGAATATCTTTGCATATCTACTTTCTAAAACTAATTTTAATCTGATATACTAACTCTTCCATTCTCCTGTCCCTCCTCCCCAAGGTATAAAGAGTTGATGGTAATCTAAATTCAAGTGACATACATTTTGTTTCCAGGAGAAAAGCTTGCAAAGAATGAGTTTCTGTTACATGCTTAACTTTTATTTAATAATCACTTATGTTGGAATTGTCCTGTTTGGCAATCTGCCCTGCTCTAAGAAATAAGGAGTTTGGAAACTTTAAGTTTGTAACTTTTTAAATTAAGAATAATGAAATTAAACAATTCACATAAACTGTCAGTATTATTCCTAGAAGTAGTCAGGGAGAAAATAAGGGTTTCTAATCCATAATCCAGTTTATCCTTTCTAATAACAGATTTCAGGGTACCTTGCTTTTACAAAATAATGGGGCCATTGAGAAGACAGAGGTTGGTGAATTTGAAAGTGTGTGGGAGGATTTGTCATGAGCAATTAATAATGTAAACATCCTGTGCTCCCAAGAAATACAGCTGGGTAGGCTTTTAGGGCTGATGGATTGCAGTCAGAATATTTTTATTTGATGTCTTGAACTGTTAGGTTAATCCAGAGATGCTACTCTTGACAGGACAGATGACTGTGATACTACTATATTGTGGTTGTACTTTTCAAAAGTCTACTGATTTGTCATTTTGTGATAGGTTTAATTAAGACTACAGTGTAACCTGAAGTAGTGCTACAATAACCTGTCATTTTCTGTTCCTAATTAAATAGACTTTTAACAAATTTACTGGCTGAAAATTCTTAACTATTTAAATAGTTATATAAAAAAATAACAGCTTTTTTTTTTCTTTATGGTAGTTGGTTCACCCTATTGTCTGCATCTCCGAGTTAAATTTTATTCCTCAGAACCAAATAATCTTCGTGAAGAGCTTACCCGGTAAGACCATTATCTAGAATTGCATAGGAGTAAAAAGCTCGATCAGACTTGGTAAAGATACTGGAAATTGTCTTCATAATTCTTTCCAGCTTACAGGCAGCTAACGAATTTTTTTTTTTTTTTTGCTATGATAACAAGACCATAGAAAATAGAATTTTATTTTGGGAGACTGTTTTTAAAAAATATATGACTCTTGCCCTGTATCAGTTTTCAGGATAAAGAGTTGGTTTCCTATTATCATCAACTAGTGATTTCTTCAGGTATCATTGTCAACTCATACACTTTAAATAGGACTGATGGGTTTGAATACATTGCATTGTTATATTTACTTATGTTTAAAATGATTTCTCTTTGGCCACTGAGAATTTTGATTCAGTTTGCCTCCTGACTTTCTTTACATATTGAAATGTTTAATTAAATAGTCTGAATAGTTTGGTTTGAATAATTTTCAATAAATATTAAGTACATTATGTACACTTTCTTTTTTAATTGAGGTAATACTGGTTTACAACTCTGTTTTTTGGTTGTACAATTTCTAACTTATTTTTATTTGTCCTGCCTCCTTTGTATTTATTCGGTGACTCTCTGTTACAACTCTGTGATTCGTATACACATACTATTTATTTGGTCTTCCTGAACTCTGCCACTGCGTTACAGATACTTTTTATAGTTAGCTATATTCCTTCCATATGAGGTGGGTATTTTGATAAGAGGGTAAAAAATCAGACCCAGTGTGCCCTCAATCATTTGCTTTAAACTTAAGGTTGCTATACTGTGCTCTGCATCTTGCTATAGTGAACCCTGGGGACATTCTACCATCCTTCTTACTAACCCCCTTCCCCCCCTGTTACTTTTTCCTTTATGGACTTCATTATGGTTAACATTCTATAATTGGAATGTTTCTCCTCCAATTAAAAGGGTAGGATTATTTTTCACATTAGATTGTACACTGTTTAAATTTTTCCCTCTTATTTTTCTTAGATACTTATTTGTTCTTCAGTTAAAACAAGATATTCTCAGTGGAAAGTAAGTATCATTTAAGGTAAAATGCAATTTCTTGAATTTTTGAAAATGCTTTTGAAAAATAAAATCTTAATTATGTAAAAAACGGTCAACATAAAATGTGTATTATTTCTATTTATCTTAAAGGTTGTGGAGTTGACTTGTCTAACACATTTGTGTTTTGGTCTCAGATTAGAGTGTCCCATTGATACAGCAGTTCAGTTGGCAGCTTATAATCTGCAAGGTAAGCAGTTCTTTTGTTGACTCTAGACTAAAACAGAATTCTTTTTTGTTTTGAGTTAAAAAAATTCAGAAGACTCAGAGTAATGTTCAAGAAAAGTAACAGTACTGTTTTTGTATAAACTTGTATTATTGTCTTACTTTGACTTTGATTTGTTTTAGAATGTTTACTTGTTTACATCCCTTTGGCTTTGTATGTTCCCATTCCATCAATAATGTTTTCAAACAAAAACAGTCTACCTGATAATTCAGTAAATATTATCATTGCACTCTCAGCTGCTTTTTATCCTTAAAAAGTGATGCATAAATTACTACTGTGGCCTCATGGTTTGCTTTTAGTCTTACTCTTAGAAATGACTCCATGAAAGAAATACTTGTATTTTAAGTTCCTGATATTTTCTTAAGAATTAAAAAAAAAGCTTTCCAATAAATAAGATTAATGAAAATCTTTTATACCTTGTTGCTCCAATCAAATACTGTTAAACTTCGATACTTTCTTACCGAAATGTTATTTCCTAACATTCTAGGAAAGCTTTAATTTCAGTCCTTTTCCACAAAAGAGAGCTATTCTAATTAGAGTATCTGTATATACTATGATAAAAGTATAATTTCGTGATTATCACGACATTAATAATTTTATATTTGTTAAGTGATTCTGTATTTACTTCCAGTCCCTTTGAGATTTGTAGTATATATTTGCTATTGTATAACTAAAGAGACTAACTTTTATGTTTTATGGTAAGCCTAATAATTTTTATACAAGAGAAAAGATTAATATGACTCCTATGCAAGAATGACACACAAATTTGTGAAGCATTCTATTAAGAAAAAGAAATGATTACTGTTTTTTAATCTTAAGATAGTTTTTTCCTTCAAAGCTAGTTTTTTTGGTCAAAATGGAAATTTTTGATTTTTAAAAATGAATAAAATATCCTTTTAAGGAAAAAATTTCTAAAGTATAGAAAATTAGAATCCCTGTTTCTCTTCTTCAAACCAACAGTTCAGCAATACCATAGTTGATTACATAAATGTTTGGGCATTCTCCAGTGCCTTTCTGTCCCAAATATGTTTTCACTAATTGTTCTTTCATTTATTTCTTTGGGATTAATAATTTTAAATTCCAGGAGGACAGAGGATTTGTCTTACAGTGATATGTTCTGTGCATAGTCTCAACATTTCTATCTACTCAGTTTTTAAAGATTGCTGTATACTGTTTATTTATTATAAGATCAAAAGGTATTTTCCTATGGAAGTCTAGAAAGATTTTCAGGAGCTAAACATTTTGAGTTATCAACAAATAAAGAATGACATATAATTGAATATGCACAAATATGTGATTTGTGTGCATAGACATATCAAGCGTATGTTTGAGCTTGCTTTTTTTGGGAATGGTCTGGATATTATAAATTCCTGGTCATTTAAGAAAGCAATCTTTCTAATCTTGTTAGCAACTTTTATTAATAAAGTAAACATTGAGGAAGGATTTAGCAGAAAATAAACTTAGTAACAAAATGTAACTTTGTGAAACTTACATTTGTAGCTGAACTTGGTGACTATGATCTTGCTGAGCATAGTCCTGAACTTGTATCTGAGTTCAGGTTTGTGCCCCTTCAGACTGAAGATATGGAGTTGGCTATTTTTGAGAAATGGAAGGAATACAGGTACTTGACATTTGATCACTTTTTTCTTCAATATCATCACGACAGTGATTTCATATTTGTTTTTTTTTCCTATAGTTGGTATAGCATTAATTATATGCTTATTATTTTTAAAATAATATGTTTCAAATTTCAGAGGTCAGACACCAGCACAAGCTGAAACCAATTATCTAAATAAAGCCAAATGGCTTGAAATGTATGGAGTTGATATGCATGTAGTCAAGGTAAGCATTGTGTTGTGATAGTTTTTGTTTTTGTTTTTGTTTTTTTTAAAGATTTATTTATTTATACAAGCACTGGGTACAGTCAGAAGCACAGAAGGGTAAGAGAATTCACCAGAGCCAGAGCAGGGAGCAGAACAGGCAGAAGGACCAAAGTGCACTGCAGAGGGGAGCAGCAGGTGGCAGGAGAGGTCTGCGCACCATGTGGGACCCTCGCCTGGTGGCCAGGGATCGAACTGGCACTGCAGAGGCTACAGGCAGCTTCACAACCCAGCGTTCAACCACTGCACCACCAGGAAGGCCCTGTGTTGTGATAATTTTAAACAGTTTTATTCCTTTAAGACTGGAATTTTTCAGTGTAAGAGTGGGCATAGAGCTTGCATAGGCTAACACTGTACATTGTTTTTTGGTGTTTGGTGGTTTTTTTTTTTAAGATTTTTTTATTCATTTTATTTTTGCATACAAGACTTGGAGTGTAGGCCAGAAATGTGTGTGGGTGGGAGGGTGGGGGCTGGTGGTGAGAGGATTTACCAGAGACAGTGGGGAGCAGAACAGGCAGATCTACTGAAATACACTGCTGAGGGGAGCAGCGGGCATGACAGGAGAGGTCTACCTCACCATGTGGGTTAGTTCCCTGGCCGGGAAATGAACTCATGCTGCAATGGCCGGTAATAGCTTGATAGTGCTAACTTTAACACCTGTGCCATCAGGGAGGCCCCTAGCACTGGATCCTTTGGATCTGTGGTTATAAAGTTAAGATTAAATACCGAATGATAAGAACTTCATGTAAAAGTTCACTATAAGAAAGGAAACAAAATCCACCCAAAAATATAGTAACTTTTTTTTTTTTTAAGATTTATTTTGTTTATATAAGAACCGGGGTACAGGCCAGATGTGTGGGAGGGAGAGAGGATTCACCAGAGCCAGAGCGGGGAACAGAACAGGCAGACTGATGAAATACACTGCTGAGGAGAGCAGTGGGCGAGACAGGAGAGGTCTGCTCACCGTGTGGGTTGCTCCAAGGCCGGCAGGGATCGAACCTGCACAGCAGAGACTGCCAGCAGCTTCACAGCGCTGTGCTCAACTGCCTGGGCCACCAGGGAGGACCCCAAAATATAGTAACTTTTAAGCTATTTTTACTTTTTTGAAATTATTTTTAATTTTTTCACTTCATAGCCACATCATCTTATATCACTTAAACTAAGTAGTCTCTGAAGAAACTAAAATAATTTAGGAAGCAACATTGAAGATTCAGAGTTTGCAAGGATTTTGATAAGTGATTTATTTCTAGCTAATATAGCTAAATTTTCACAGAAAGGCAGTCTTTTTCAAAATTTGTGATTTAAGTGGAGATTGGAGTATGGAAAGAATCTGGAAAGAGCTTTCTTCATAGTGGGACTATAGCTACTATTTTCAGTGAAGATATACCTTAAAACTATAATTTTCCTGAGAATGTTATTTTGAGGACTTCTGTTGAAAACACATTGCATATTAATATTATCTGTGTATAATGAGTATCATTCAGTGTGACAATAAAATTAACAGTTGTGTGAAAGTGTGAAACCTGTTTTATATAAATAAAGCTAACACGTTTTGCTCTTCTCAAATTAGGCTAGAGATGGGAATGACTATAGCTTGGGACTAACCCCAACAGGAGTTCTTGTTTTTGAAGGAGAAACCAAAATTGGCTTATTTTTTTGGTAAGCAAAGTTAATGTCAAAAGTACTCACTGTGGTTTTGCTTTTTCAGCAAGTAAGAACATTTATGTCAAGTTGACACATAAAATAGCTTGGAAATCAAATAATTCTGAAAAACTTGTAATGAGAAGCAGCTGTCTCCTGTCATACTCCGACCGATCTTTAATCCCACTTTCCAGAGGCAGTTTTAAAAAGTCTTCTATCCATAGATTCCATTAACTTTAAGGAATGTCAAAATTATGTGTCTTAATATAAATATTCTACATGTGTATATTAAATGTCCACATGGACACACTGTCTTGTTATATGGTTATAATCACTATTTTTAGTATTTCTAATATTTCTTGTTCCACAATCTCTTTACATTATATTCCCTTGTAGGGTAAGAGGAAGACAATGTTAGTACTTTTACCCCTCCTTTTAAGTTGTACTTTTTGTGTCCCAGTTTCCACTGTATATACTTTGAAATTATATTTGCATTTTATTTTAATGTCAAGATAGACATTACTTGCATTTCATAACCACTAAGTTCTTCAGGTTTTGTCTAATTGGTTCTAACCCCAAAATCAGGAAATGTATCGAAATGATCCCTGTATATTGGCTCCTATGTTGTTTTCTTTTTATAGCACTCTAGGACTGTTAGCTCAAAGTCTACCCACACCAAACTCTTACACATTCAATTGCATAGCCCAATGAGTATATTTTCAGGCATTTGGAATCTGACTGTTTTGAATATCCCACAAGTTGCACCCATTAACTGTTAGCAATAAATGTGACAAATCCTGTAGCTATATAAGGCCTCTCTGCCTTTTGGAAATCTCTGACCCAGAGACTTCCCCCTTGCCACTGAATGTCATCACCTGAACAGACCTACCCCCTTTTCTCAAATTTCTCAAAGAGGGCTTTCCTGGGATCTTCATAGAGTTCCCTTGTCCTGTTCACCCTCAAGGGCCTGTGCCATTGTCCCTCTCAAGGACTTTTCCCTGCAAAATCTCTCAATAAAGCTCCTTATACAATACTGCTAGCTCATGGTCCTGTCTTTTTCTTGATCATCCTGGAAATTCTTGAAATCACAATTGGAATTACAGTTTTCTTCTGTGTAGTCTTTTGTTTTTCCTAGAGTTCTTGGCTCCCCTCTCCTGTCCTCCACTCTCACATACTCCACACATTCCTTTAAATTGCTTGCCTTGTCTTTAAGTTACTTAAGATTCTCAAAGGTTGCATTAAATGATTCTTCTGTTTCTATTGAACTCTTTGCTCTTCATGCTATTCTTCAGCTTTCATCTTGGAACCCACTTTTCCTGGGTTTTTTGAACCAAGATTTTCCTCTTTCTGTGCTTTTGTTTTTCCAATACATGTCCTCACGTAATTACCTAAGAAAAGAGTGTAGAAGAAAAATTACTTGAACCCTTGGATGCCGTGAAATGGTTAATCTGCACTCATGTTTCCTTGCTAATTGGAGTTTCTTGATGGAGTTCTGATTGAAAGTATTTCCCTTCAGAAAGTTGAAAAGAGTATTTATTTTTACATTTAGATGTTCCCTGCTAGGGACTCTGAGAGGCTTGGTGGAACACCTTTCTAATTGTTTATTGAATGCGAAGGGAGCTGGGGTATTTATCCAGTCCATGAGTGTAAATTCCCTAACACATCCAGTTTGCCCTGTAGGCAGTTAGAACATGCTTCGTGGCCAGAGAAAGTTCTATGCAGATAAAAGTATTTTTGAGTCCACCTTATAAAGTTGTGGGTATCACTTGTATTAAGACCCGAAATTAGAAGAGTACTCTGCACTTAGTATTAAGTATTTAATGGTTAAATAAGTGGTAGCTCCTGCCCTCCACCTCCACTGTTTATACTTATTTACTTCTTGTTGTTTTAGTAAAGTCTTGTAAACAAGTTATGTTGCCCATCTTTTTTTGTTATATTTAAAAATTAGTGGGAGTGGAATTGCTTTGTTTGGCATTTGCAATTAATAAAAAGTACAGCGTTCAAATATGCTAAGTTGTATAGAATGTTCATATAGGTAGGAGATAGTGTTGCAAAGTGGGCCATAAAGTGAGGTTTAAATTTAAAGGCTGTATTTCCTCAAACCACAATTGAAGGCCCTACTCAATAATTTGTTTTCTTTTATGCCTTTTGAAAATATGTGTAGTCTTTCCTGTGCTGCTGCTTTAATACTAGGCTTGGAGAATCTCTTAACACAAAACTATGGCATATGGGGGAAATAAAAAATGTAAGAATTTCTTCTCTTTATTTTTTCCTTAACATTTTTAATGTCTGATATACATGCAGTGTCATTTTTGCCAGAGGTAATTGCTTTTGAAATATCTGTTCTGTTAACTATATGTTAAGTTGGAGGCTTTTTTGATGGGCTGTGAAGGTTATGTATCCTCTTAACCAGTTTATAATTCACAAATTAAGTGATAAATATGCTTGAAGTAATAACAAAGGTTTTCTTAATTTAGAGTACATGTATTTCAAATATGACTGCTATTCTCATTTTATTATAGGCCCAAGATAACCAGATTGGATTTTAAGAAAAATAAATTAACCCTGGTGGTTGTAGAAGATGATGATCAGGTAGATATTCTATCTCATTTCTTACTTAACAGCGACTATGTTATGTTTAACTTAAGTCTCTAATAAAGGAGCAATTTACCCATGGTTTTATAGAGTCATAGAATAGAAACTTAGTATAATTAATAATTAATTTCCTACTTCAGATCACACCATCCTAATAATTTGGTTTTCTGCTCTTAAAATTAAGGAACATAGCATAAAAGAATATTCTTGTTTCATCATTTATGTCTGATGTATATAAAAATTTGCATTTAAATGACTGTCTTTTTAGCACCTGAACAGAAAGATAAATCAAAAGATCTACCTAATAATATTCTTTAATAACATCTTTAAACTAAGGATTAACTTTTTTTCAGTTAAATCTAGTTTCTAAGTGATACACAAAAAACATGGATGCCTCTTACATGCTTTCTGCTAAGTGAAACCAGCCAGATTCAGAAAGACTTAACTGTATTATTCCATTTATATAATATTCTGGGAAGGTAGACCTGTAGGAATGGAGAGTAGGTCAATGATTGATTGGAATTAGAGGCAGTGAGGGAGCTTAACTAAAAGAAACAGCACAAGAAATTTTGGGGGATGAGAGCATTATTCTGTGTCTTGATTTTTGGTGGTGATTACATGGCTATGTAGTTGTCAAAATTTACAGGCCCACGCAAAAAATAATAAATAAAAAAATCTGCTTGTAAATAATAATATTGAAAAAGTACATGTATATATAGATAAAAGCAAGTTGGACAAATGTTGAAAAATTTTATATATAGTGACAAATGAGAAGACTAGAAAGAAGATTCAGAAAATTAGATGAAATGGTAAAAAGTTTTGTAAGTTTTAAGTTTTATTATTGAGATACATGTCGAGGATTGTCCTATCACACAGCTTGGAAGAAAATCAGAGATAAAAATAGAGCATTAGAAAAGAATCTCTGGATAGCACAGGGGATGATCATTATATCATCACCAAATGAGTTGAAAATGATTCAGAGGCAAACTTCACATTTAAAACAACTTATTTTACTTTTTATCATGTAAGTATATGTGTTTACATTTAATGATATTTGTATCTAAATGTAACGGCAGTCCTTTAAGAAGAATAATGTATAATTCTGCGTTATAAGAAATTATGTATGGTCATAATTTAACTGGTGACATTTCCTTGTTGGGCTGTAAAATAATTGTGCATCTTAGAATTGATGGCATTTTAGATTGACTAATAGAGCATTAGCTTATTGGATTTTTTTTGAAGTTATTTTACACATATATACGAGCAAATGTATATATCATTTCATTTTTGAATGGAAGCTGTTGTGCTTATACACTGTTCTCTCTTCATCCTTTTTTGACTTTATAGTTTGGAGTCTTTCCATATCAGTATATAAAGTGTTTCTTCATGCTTATAACAAACTAAAACTGTATACTTTTCTATTGTATGAATATACTGTAATTGATATAATCAATTCTCAATTTATATTTATTCACTATATATACAATAATCTGAACATTGGCAGGTATCTAGCTATTATCATTTCCTTTGGGTGAATTTGCTGGGTCAAATGATTAAGGGCATTTGTCCTGGATCTAGTGAGACACTATCAAATTGCATTGTTATCAGCACAGAAATCTGTTTTCTCAGGGTGTTTAGCACATTTTCATCTGAAATATGAGAAGTGGAATTTAACTGTAGGTTTAAGTTTCCTTTCTGTTATTATGCATGATATTGAACACCTTTTCATGCATTTTAGTTTTTATTTGTTTCTTTTTCTCCAAACTGCGTACTCATAATCCTTTGCCCCTTTTTCTTTTGGATTGTTGGTCTTTTTTCTTAGAGGTTTACTCTTTGTCAGAGTAACTGTAGACATTGCATCTAATAGTTGTTTGTCTTTTAACCTTCTTATGGTGGTTTTTTGCCATGTACTTTAAAAAACAAGTAGATTTACCTTTTATGACTTTTGGGTTTTGTGTCATAAAAGGATTTTTCCTTCTTTGAAGTATACTTTACTGTATTTTTTTGTGTGTGTCTAGTTTTTGTTGATAAATTTTATTGAACTACAACATATGTTCAGGTAAGCACATAAACATACCTTGTTCAATTTTCACATACACCTGTATGATCAGCACCCAGATTAAGAAATAGAATGCTTCCAGAATTATAGTTTCTCCCTGTGTCCCTTGCCAGATACAATCCCCCAAGAATAGTCACTTGACTTTAACACCATAGATTAATTTTTTCTTCTGTTTTGACTTTATGCTAAAGAAATCTGCATGAATACTCTCTTTGAGTCTGGCTTCTTATTAATTCAACATTGTTGTGAGCTTTAACCCTGATGTAGTAATTAGTTGTATTTGACTCATTCTTACCATTTCATATAGTATTCAATTTTAGGAATAGATCACACTTACCTTCCTATTCTTGATGGATGTTTCAGTTAATTTCAGTTCTTGACTGTTAAAAGTACTGCTCTGAACACAAGGATATGTGTTTGTTGGTTTTTTGTGCCTACCACCAAAGTGGTTTCCAAAGCGTTATAAACATTTACGTATCTATCCACAATGTATGAGAGTTGTATATGTTATTTTTGTTGTTGCTAATGTTTGCTATTCTTTTTCATGTAGCCATTCCAGTAATTGAATCATCTTGTTGTTTTAATTTGCATTTTGCTGATGACTGTTTTAGTTTAGAGCTTATTTATGACATTGATTAGACATTTTTATGTTTTTTTTTTCCCATAAAAGTAATATTCAAGTCTTTTGTTAATTTTTGATTGGGTCATATACTTTTTTTTCATCATCGAAGTTAGTTTGTATCCGGGATATCAGTTCTTTGTCAGATACATGTTGCAAGTACCTTCTCCTTGGCTTGCCTTTTGACTCCCTTGAATCACTTACCTTTGGATAAATAGAGCATTTCAATTTTAGTGTAATACAGCATCCACATTTTTTTTCCCTTTGTGCTCAGTAATGTGTCTTTTTCAAGATTAAAAATTTTTTAACTTTTTAAAATTAAAAAATCATTGCATGTATCAAGGTCATGAAGAAACTATATGTAGTTCACAAAATGTTTTTTAAAGTGACAAAATATTCAGCGGCTATTTGAAAAGTACCAAAATAACGCAACTGATAACCTGTTTCACTCATCGAGATTGAACTTTTTTGGCATCATTGTTTCACATCTGTTTTAGAAATAAAGAAATTAATAGTACTATATTTTATACAGCTAAGCTCTAGCCCCTTAACTTGCCTCTTTTTCCTCAGAGCTGAACATCATTATTGGATGGTATTATTCTCATTTTCTAACTTTTTCCAAATATAAACACGATAGTCTTGTTTTTAAAATTTACATAAATCATATACTTTGGGGGCTTTTTTTTGCAGCCTGTTTTACCTAAACACATAGCCATGTAGCTCTAGTTTATTCATTTGACCCTATATATATAGTGTTCTGTCATATGAATAAACAGTAGTGCATTCATTCATTATTTTTTATTCATTCATCTCTATATTTTTAAATATAGCATTGTTTACTTGATTATTTCTCTTGTTTTGAATATGTTAGGCTTTGTGTGGAATTTTGCTATTAAAAATGAAACTTTAAAAAAAATCTTTGGGTATAAATTTTGGTATACAGAAAATCTTTTCCCTAGAGAGACTATATTATGTAGTTCAATTGTTATAGATGTAGGCTCCAGAGCTCAGAATGCTAGGTTCAAACTGGTTTTCTCTCTTACTAGCTTTGTGACCTTGTTCTTGATTTCTTGAGCCTTAGTTTCTTTGTCTTTGAAATGGAGCTAATGATAGTATCTGCTCACTGAAGTAATTTTATAAAACCCTTAGAAAAAGTGCCTAAGAATATTAACTATTATAGTTAGATTCTTGTGAGTACCTACTATAACAAAGAATATGGACATTTTTAAAGCTTTTGATATATATTGCTAGATTTTACGTGATCCTTTCAATTATGATTATATAGTTTTCCCTAACTATGGTGTATAAAACCTCATTTTATGACTCTGGGAAATGAGATCACATAAATAGAGAGGGACAATCTTAGGAATAATTTTATATTGACTGAAAAAAATGAATAGCTTGTTTTCAATTCTTTTTTATGTAGATATATATGAAGAATGTCTGAATCATCAGGGATCAAACTCGATGCTCTATTATTTGATTCTGTGAATTGATGTAGTTGTATTTGTAGCTAAATAATGGGGCACAGGAGTGTTTAACCTAATAATTACCTCTCCATCCTTTTCTTTTCAGGGCAAAGAGCAAGAGCATACATTTGTCTTTAGACTGGATCATCCAAAAGCATGCAAACATTTATGGAAATGTGCTGTCGAGCATCATGCTTTCTTCCGCTTGCGTGGCCCTGTCCAAAAGAGTTCTCATAAATCGGGATTTATTCGACTGGGATCGCGGTTTAGATACAGGTTAAAGTTATTAGCTGCTTTCTTTCTCTTTCTTTTTCTTTCATGGAGGCCAAAAAAGTTTAGGCCATCTCTTCTTTTTACAGATGTGAAAACTAAGGCATAGAAAAATTTGGTTTTCCATTGGCCAAAATAAAAAAGTTTTGTTTACCTGACCAGTCAGGTAAACATTATAATAGTGTAATGGATTTTATATCCCTCTTAGCATATACTTTGTATATTAATTAGCCTCCAATTTAAAGTCATGTAAACAGAGTTTTATACACACATACATACACATTGTCTCTCTCAATGGCTGGATACCATGCAGAGGGATTTACCACTGAATGGGAAATTAGGTTATTTCTGATTCTTTATAACTTTAAGCTCATTATTCTTATAGACTCCTTGATTATTGGTCATAAATTAGAAATATATTGGTTTACTTGAGATTAAATAACTGAATTTTTGGAATGCTTTGAAAATCAGTCATTATGATTTAAAGAAGAAATGGGTAATAATAATATAACAGGTCAGTGTGGAATTCATGCAAGAGAGCATCTGTTCTACTTGTATTAAAAGTGGGAGGACATTTTCTTAATAATTTAAATGGAAATCAAGGAGAATATGACAATAGTTTTAAAATATTTCTGGAAAATTCTGAGATGTATACCACAATTAGAAAAGGTAACTGAAAGTCTTGAGTTAATTGCACACTTTGCATTGGGGTGTGTGGATGAGGAAGGAAAAAGAGTTCCATAAAAGCATAGGTATTGCAGACTTGTTTATGATGATCTGAAGTGATACTGTATGCGTAAGAAAAATCAGTATAATTTGTGTTGCATATTTCACATGGGCTTAAAAAGTAAAAGAATGATGTGGAAAAGGGAGACATCAATATTATCGGTAGCTTCTTCAAGAAGTGTAGGATGGTTCTTTTAAGGAGAACTTTAATGTAGACTTTCATTTATGTATAGGCTTTAATTTCTTTTATTCTTGTTAATATGCCTGATTATTTTAGTGGGAAAACTGAGTATCAGACAACAAAAACTAATAAACCCAGAAGATCAACATCCTTTGAAAGAAGACCCAGCAAGCGATATTCTCGGAGAACTATACAAATGAAAGGTGAAATGCAGCCCTGTTCTAGAGTACTTTCTTTCTTGTCAGTTTATCTGTGTACTGCTATTGTTTACTAGAGAGAAAGTTGTCTGACTCTTAAGTCTACTTAATCAACTGAAGTATTCTAATTTTATGAATTTGGTTTTGACACAAGTAGTTTAATAAAAATACAAGGGGAAAATTACCTGTTTTGTTTCTGAGATTAAACTTCATTAATCCCAATTCAGACACTGTTCCGAGTTTGTATTCAGCTTTTGTTTGTGTTAACTAGTTCCTGTCTCTTTGATTTCCAGATTTCATTTATAATAATCTTTTAAATCCTCTTAGGACTTAAAAAAAAATAAACAAATTTGAAGCAAAAATTATTTCATACTTTATTATAAATATTAAGTATTCTGTTAAATAAATTTTTGTTTATTTAGTATGATACATACACTTCCAAATCATAAATGTTGCTTGCCATGTAAGACTCTTATGTAATAAAAAAAATATGGTTTACTTTGTTAGATAAACTAAAACTTGTTTCATTTTGAATTTTAGTTTGCATTAAAATAATGATAAATTTTAAATATGTCCAATATCATTGCTATGACTAGTTGAAAAACAACTAACATTATGTTTGGCTTTGGTTTTTTTAAAAAACTGATTTATATTCATAATTTTGGATGACTAAATTAAATAATATATTTGTTACATATATAGCTACAAATGAAACCATTTCAATTTGTGGTGGTTTCCTTTAGGTTACTCTAAGTTACCTCTTATTTCTACTGATGATGATTTTTTGTCACTCAGTTCACCCCAGGATGCTTGCAGGTGGCCAAAACATATACCTATTTTATTGCTTTATTTTAAGAATGGAAAGTGCTATTATTGTTTACAATTACTATTTCTTTTATTATAGCCTGTAATTGTTATTATTGACTTTAATATTATGAGTACTTCTGTGAACTAAGTCAATAGTTGGGAAACATGGATTTATAAAATAGTCAAGATTTAATTTTACGAATAGTCAAACAGTTTACCAGGAAAGAGGAAACTAATGGGACATTTTCTTTTTCTCTTCCATCAGCAAGTACAGCAAAACCTGAAGAACTCAGGTGGGTGTAGTTTTGCAACTTAGTGATTGGCATAGTGTTTTAGAATTTAAGTATTTGCTGTCATAAATATTTGTTGAGCTGTATCAAAGTGTTAAGTTCCTTAGTATTGGTGATACAGTAGAGAACAAAGAAATGTATAATGCCACATAAAATTGACACAAAGAAAAACAAAAGTATAAATAAAGAGTGGGTAGGGTAGATTCATAATGAGAATGACATACAGTTGTTATTGGAACATGATGCAGGATATAAAGATTAATAAATTATGATCCTTTCACAGAAGGAGCTCAAAGAAAAATGGTTGATTTACAGATAAGCTATTGTACTCCTGGGATAAATCTCACTTTGTCATTGTGTATAAGACTTCTTTATATTATGTTGCTGGATTTATTCAGTAGTATTTTGTTGTAGATTTTGATTCACTAGTATTTTGTTATGTCATATTAATCAAAGATAGTGGTCTGTAGTTTTCCTGTAAGTTTTCATTTTGTTTTGGCAACAATATAATACTGATTTTACAGACTAAATTTAGAAATGTTCTTGTCTCTACTAACTTTTGAAAAGAGCTTATAAAGAATTGGTATTAATTTTTTAAATATGTGGCGAAAAGCACCATTAAAACTGTCTTGTTTGAACTTTCTCTTTTATGTGAAGCTTGAAAGTTCTTTGTTCCATTTCTTGTTATAGGTCTATTCAGATTTTTTTTTCCAGTTTGGGAGTTTGAGTCTTTTTAAAATTTGTCTATTCATCTAAACTGTAGCATACAGTTGTTCATATTGTTTCCTTTTTATTTCTGTAAGGTTGGTACTGATGCCGCCTTCATCCCCCACTGTGGTATTTGAGGTTTTTTTTTTTTTCCTCTTGATCAATCTTAGTAAAGGCTTGTCAGTTTTGTTCACCTTTTCAGAAAATTAGTTTTCGGTTCACTCAATTTCTCTATTTCATTACTTTTCACTCTGATATGTTATTTCATTTCTTCTGTTTACTTTAGGTAGAGTTTGCTTTTTTCCTAGTGTCTTAGGTAGATGATTATGTTATTACTTTGCAATCTTTATTATTTTAATGTAACATAGCTAAAAATGTTACTCCAATCACTGCTTTAGTCATATTACATAAGTTTTTTTATATTTTCATTTTTGTTCATCCCAAGTTATTTTCTAACTTGTTTTATGATTTTTGTATTTGACCCATTGGTTACTTGGTAGTATTTTACCTAATCTACACATACTTGTGAATCTTTTATTTTCTTGGGTTTTTTGTTATTGTTGTTGTTATTGTTTTGTAGTTTTATTCCATTGTGTTAAAACAGATTTTTGCATGATTTTTATTCCTTTAAATGTATTGAGACTTGCCTTATGACCATAGCTTGTTTTATCTTGGAGAATGGTCTGTGCCCTTGAGAAAAAGGTACATTCTGTTACTGTTGAGTGGAATGTTCCATTCATATCTGTGAGGTCTGGTTGGTTTTATACCATTGTTCTAAACTTCTATTTTATTGTTGGTCTTTTATGTAGCTAAATCTGGTAAATTTGGGATGTTTTCAACCATTATTTTCTCATTTTCTTTCTCCTTGATTTTCTCCTTGTGGGACTTAGAGTATACCTACATTGCTACACTTGATGATATCCCATAAGTCAGTTCACTTTACTTCATTTTTTTCTTTCTGTTCCTCATACTAGATAATCTCATTTATTCTGTCAGGTTTACTATCCTTCAGCCTGTTCAAATCTGCCATTATGTCCTGGTGAATTTTTCATTTCAGTATTATACATTTCAATTCCAGAATTTCTATTTGTTACTTTTTCACAATTTCTCTATTTGTTAGTAGTTGTTTTCATACTTTGTTTCTGTAGTTCTTAAACATATTTTTACATAACTGATGTAAAGTCTGAATTGCTGAGACAGTTAGTTCCATATTCTTGGCTGCATCCAATTGTAGTAAAACTTCCACCACACTGAATGTGGGAAAATGGGAGAAGAGAGCAAATTGTAACTTAAGTGCCAGATTGAGTTACGAGATTTAGTAAATTATCTTGAATAAATATTTTCTCTACTTGATGCTTGCATTTTATTATTTTTATAATTTTCAACAGCTAGATGTTTCAATAGGAGAGGGTTTGCTATTCTCAAATCACTATTTTAGAAGTTCTAATTACTACTGACTAAATTAACTTCAGTACTATATATTACAATGTATAGTTTCATACAATGTTTCTCAACCATTGGTATGTATCAAGTTCGCCTGGAAATATCAGCTTCAGGCAATACTCATAAATCTAGTTCCTTTTTTGAATTTGATTACGCCCCTGTATGGCAGATACATGACTATAGCTTCTTCAAAAGGGAAAATTGTTTTTGGTACTAAATGCAGTCAGCTTTACCTTGTCATGTCCTAGCTATTCATTTTTTTTTTCACTTAGAAAACTATTAATACCAGGGTATGATTAGTGATTCACTACAAATGCACTCTTTTTTATTTTATACTATACATTTTTTACATCATTTTTGCACAATATATGCATTTTCATCTTGGTTATAGTCCCCATACAGTTCCCACCCCCCCCCCTTGTTTTGATCCTACTCCCTCCTCCACCCCCTTTAGTGTGTATCTGGTTAATAGTTGCTTGTTGATTTTGCAATCAAAAAAGATAAACTCATGCAATTTGCTACAACATGGATGGAGCTGGAAAGGGATCATGCTCAGCGAAATAAGCCAGAAAGAAAAAGAAAATACTGGATGGTTTCACTCATAGCAGGAATTTAGAAAACCTAAATAAGGGACCAGTAAAAAACCCAATTATAATAAAGTAAAATACACCTTTTTTTTTTTTTTTAATAAGGATTCCTCTGATGTCAGTAGGCTGTTAAAAATAAGTAAATGGAGTAGAGAAGAAGAGAGGGGTTCTCTTCATTTTGAATTTTTAGTTGCGTTAAAAAAAAAATTACAAAATTTTCTGCCTTTTCTGATCTGTACACTTTTATCTTTCTTGTAGCCAATTAATAAGTTGAGCTTTTAAGAAAAATAGTGGCAAATGTTGGCAGTATTCTGTATTTCCTGCATTCTTTTTTTCCCCTTTGTTTAGTGGGTCATGTTTTGATAACCTCACAGGAACAGAATATTACAGTTTACGGTAAAGATTACCTAGAGACATTGTAAACAAAGCAGTACAGTGATAATGTAGTTGAAAAATTAAGGTTCTCTATGTAAGAATTTCTCCTTCTTTACAATTTTCTGCACATTTCTGACCAAAAAGAGAGATAACTCTACAGGCTTTCTCCTAGAATAAAGATTAACTTAACTTTAATAACTAAATTTTGTGTCCTTTTGAGTGTGCTTTTGGGTCTGGAAAACAGCAGAAGTGGCATGTTAAGTGATGACACTTTATTAAAATTTTTCCAAATAAAAATAGTAAAATATGTAGACCCAGCTTTCCTGAAGGTTACTATTATTCTTACAGCACTTTGCAAGAACCTGGATTGGCATGACTGCTCTTTCATGATTGTCCTTACAGTTCTTTTGCATGAAGTGTTACTCCAGGGGACCATGGAAAACAGGACTGAAAAAACACAACTATTTGCCCTAAACAGCTTCATAAACTTGTACTATTTGAATAGCAGATTTTTTTCATTGGTTCTTGTCATTTCTTATACTATTTTATTTCCTTCTAACTTCTTCCTGGTGAATCTTGCTTAATATATAGTATCTTAAGAAAAGATGGCATTTGAAAAAGTAGTTCAAATTCAGTTATTAGTACTTTCTATGCAGGCTTCGTGGACAGTCTTGAAGATACAAAAGAGAGGGAAAGATGTGGAGGAAATGACTAAAGAAAGTTTAAGAACCAGGGCCTCCCCGGTGGCACAGCGGGTTGAGCGCTGCACAGTGAAGCAGTCCACAGCCTCTTCTGTGCAGGCTTGATTCCCGGCCAGCCAAGGAGCAACCCACATGGCGGGGCATACCTCTCCTGCCTCACCCACTGCTCCCCTCCGCAGTGTATGTTGGTCGTCTGCTTGTTTGCTCCCCGCTCTGTCTCTGGTGAGTCCTCTCACCCTCCCACACCTCTGACTTGTACCCCAGTTCTTGTATAAATAAATATTTAAAAAAAAAAAAAAGTTTTAAGAACCAGTAGGGTCAATTATTGCAGGTAGTCCGTTAAAGGGGGAAGCTTGGATTTGGTTAGTGACAAAAAAATAGGTAGTCTTCCATTTTAGTGGTGGTGAAAGAATATATTTAGTTGAAAAAATAGGGCTTTCTACATTTCAAATTATTTGAAAACAGGGAGATGTGATCCTCTTAACATCACTTATTGGGAGCACTTTTTATAATTACTGTTCACCTTTTATTCATCACCCTTTAAAGGGAAAGCTTCAGAGAGTAATTCAGGGAATGATGGAATAGTGAGTCTGACTTCTGTATCACGCAGGTTGGATGAGATTTCATTTATGCTTAGGATTACGAGTTATTTTAAAGCGGCATAATGTATTCTGTGAGGAGCAACATCATTTATAAAAAAGAAATTGTGTCTGACACTTTACAGTTGCCTAGGTAATAGATCTAAACCAGCCAATATTGGTTAAGTTTCTTTTGTTGTTGGTGGTGGTTGGTTAGTTTTATTTATCCCATATTCCTGTACTTTGCTAATATTCATTCATTTAATCCTAACAATTTTATGCAAATGAGGAACCTGGAGTTCAGAGAGGGGAGTCACAGCTTGAATTTGAACCTAGTCAAAGGTAGTACAAGTTCTGATGATTCAACCTGTAGCATGATAGTTAATAAAAGATAAGATCTATATGACTTCATTCTTAATCATTCAGCCTTTTAGCAAGGACTTTTCTTTCTTGAGTTTTTTCTGAATTAGTTGTCTCATTATCGGATAGGTTTTGTTTTGCTCAGCCCTCTAAGGGATGATTCTGGATGTTGTATTCAGAGTTGGCATTTGAGGAGCTATGCTTGTTACCTCTTACTAGAATGGCATCTTGACTGGGTATCATGTTCTTGGCTGAGAAGAGGCCTTGTGTCTGCCTGGTAACAGGCATCTTTATAGTGTACCTGAAGTCTTTTTTCTATTCCTTGAAGGTCAGTAACTTAACAGTAACAGTTTGAATGTATTTAATTTTGTATCTTATTTTCCTGGAACACGTTGCTCTTCATTAAATCTGTAGATTATTTTCCCATTTTCAAGTTTTCTTTTTTTCTTTGAATTCTCTGTCTCAGAATACTAATACTTATGTTAGAATGTCTGACACACATTTTGTTGTGATAATATATCATCTTTGAGTTCTTAATTTCATTGAATTTTTTTTTAAGCTGTTCTAAAGTTTCTTTCTATTTAGTTTATTATAGGTTGATTTTCTTAAACTTTGGGGAGAGGTTATGGGTAATGTAGCAGCCTAAACTCAGAATTTTAAAACATAAGTCATTTGGAGAGGAAGGTATACAGAAAAGTTTCTAATTTTAAGTTTATACTAAGGACTTTTGAGTTATAAATTGCTGAACTATTGCTGACACTGTAAAATTTCAACAGTATGGAAATATCCAGAGAAGTAATAGATAAGTATATATGTGGATATTTGTGTTTAATGCTACTTTTTTGCTATGTTTGACAGATATTGCCCAATGAATAAAGATTAATAATGAAATATTCCTCTAAAGCACAATTAAAATATCAAATGAACAGGTCTTAGAAAAGCAAGTATTTGTAAAGGCAAATGTTTTGGGTATCTTACTATCTTAGTTTTAATTAAGAACCAACAGTAATTTTTTCTTTATTTGAAACAAAACAGTATCTTTAAAAGTAAAGCTACTTTATGAATCCCAAAAATAAACCAAAAATAAGTATGAAAAGTTCTCATCACAAGAAGAAAAAATACTTTTGTAGCTATGTTTGGATATTAGATCTATCGTGGTTATCACAGTATATTCAAAAATTGAATTGTTTTTGTGCATCTAAGACTAATATAATGTAATATGTCAACTATATCTCAGTAAAAAGCTTCTTCTTCTTCTTCTTTTTTTTTTTTTTTCTTTTTTAGTGTAAGCAAGCCCTAGAATATTTTACATGATTTTATAATAGATTTTTTCACTCTTTACAGTGTTCCCAATAATGTTTCGGCCCAGAGTAATGGCTCCCAACAGGTAAGACAACATTAAGTTTCTAAAGCACCAGAACACAGTAGTTAATTATGGCAAACAATAGCACTAGTAATTAAATTTTCATAGTGGTGTAACAATGGAAAAATTCTGTGTATTTTCTTTTCCTTGTCTGTAAGGTGATTCAATAATTTGAACCCCCCTTATTTGTTTCTGTTTTACTTAATCCTCTAGTTCATTGGTAATAGAACAGGTACTCTAAAAAACATTTCTTTTCTCTGTAAGTCCTGTAAAATGAATGAAATATCAATATTCAATTAGGTTATTTATCTCTAGTGTGGTATATGACAGTCAGTACTCTTTTACATTATATTTATTATTTGGATCTGTTTTAAAGTTCTGTTTATTGATGAAAAGATCTTTTATTTTGGCAAAATAGATGATTGTTATAATTTATGTTCCAAGGCTTGGGGTGTGAGATCCACTCTGCCTGTGGTTTCTCCTGTTGCCTCTGGTCCTGTGTTGGTGGAGATAGAGAATCTTCCAAGGAGTCCTGGAACAGACCAGCATGACAGGAAATGGTTTGTTAACTCCTTAAATCATAATAAAATACTGCTTGCTTAATGGTATTCTAAAATCTGAGCCATAAACTTGGAGTACTTCAAATATGATTAAAGCAAATTATTCATATTTGTAAGCAAAAAAAAAAAGCATATCATTGAGCAGTCCTATTGAGATAGGGAAGATAAGGGATATGGATAAAGAAGGAAGTGCAGTTGTCTAAATGAGGAACATCGAAAACGCTCTTTATTTTGGCAGCATAATTGGGGATGGTGGCTTTTTCCTCATTGAAAAAGATTCCAGTACTAGTCAATAGACGCTTTTCCCAGATCTATAAGGAAAATATGTCCATTCCGTGTTCTACCATACAACATGGTGTTGTGGATGTTTTTGCTTTATTAAAGACTGAAGCTAAAAGTGAAAGGGAAACTGGATGATAGTCCAGAAACAAAGCATGAAATCTTCCACTTTGGAGGATGGAGAGATAATCTAATGAAAGAGAAGATAAGTCATTTAAGTTCTAGGGTATGTTTTTAGGTTAATAGTAAGTATACAAATATGGATACTTTGTGGCTTATTGGGGTTAATCAGTGGGATTTAACCTTTCCCAAATAAATATATGTGGCTTGGTGGGGGAGCTCCTTGGAAATTATTTGATTGAGTGGTCATGTTGGTTGCATCATCTGTTCAATTTTTGTGTCTATTTGTGAAATGAACTTTGATAATTTATAGGATTTTTTTCTCTTTTTCTCTTGCTCTTAGTTTGTTTAGTACCTGAAATCTAATGAGTTTCTGTGGTGATCTCAAGGTTTTGGTCAGCTTTCTGTGCAGCCAGTTCTCCTGCAAGGTGGTGGGTCAGCAGTGGTTGGTGAATATTTTCGGTCTTTGCCATATAATTATTTTTCACTGTTATTTTGGCATAACTAACTGCAAGGTGCTTCGCTTTTTTTTCTTGATGCTTGGACATACTTTTACTTCAATTCCAAATTATGTAAGATTAGTTTCTAAAATTGTGGGATTTTCCCCTTATTTTTCCCTTTTATCTCTTTTTCCCTTTCTACTTGGGAGTGTGGTGTGGGTACTTTGTGTATATGCAGGCACACCCTTAAACTAAGTGTCAAATTTTAATCTTTACTTTTTAAGCCATAAAAAGTGTTTCTTCCATTTCTTACTGAAAACATGGGTTCACAAAGCACCAATGTTTAGGCTTTGGTGGTAACATCAAGGAAACATAGCACTGATACTTAAACTATAAAAGAACTCCCTTAGTACATTATTATTTTTTTATATTAATATGAGAGTCTTGTTTGTATTCTGTATTAGGACACTAAACCTAAGTTGAGTTTTCAGATTTTAATAGGAACATATTTAAATCTCTTTAATTGGAATGATTAGGTATTCCTCAGTTCCTTTGCAGATTTTTAAAAAGAGAGAATACTGAATCTAAGAGTATTAAAATCAAGAACAATGAAAAATTTAGAACTATGTGTCCCTTCCATTATGCAATTGTTCTGAGACTTCTTTTGCTGAAATGGAGTAAAACGGTGATCCTTAAAATGTAGTGAGCCCCAGTGTACGTCAACAGTGGCATGGAACTGAATATAGAACCGACATGTCTTTGAGCTTATGGGTTCCCAGCCTAAATTTAAAATACATTCTTTGTTTCTACATGCTTTAATTCTTAATACTTAAAGCAGTCCTCCTTTAGAAAGTGATATTAAAAATTTTGGAAACATTTTCTAGATTTGAACAACTGGGCAGAGTAATGGGCTATTTTATTTCTGACAGTTAACTTTTAACCAATTTAATCTATACCTACTCCTTTTTCAGTTCCCTGGCCTTTTTTGCTGATGTCTTATAAATAACATCATTATTTTAGTGAATGATTTGATATATCAGTAACTTAGAATTGTCCAGTATTTAAAGTATCACTTTGTGAGTAACATTCACGTATTTTAAATCCATAAACCATATGTAAACAACAAAAACATAACTCACTAAATTTAGAAAATCTTGCCCTATAGGGACAATATAAACCAAACTTTCTAAATTTGCAGGAACCTTATATTGAGGTTTTTGAATTTTATGGTTAATCTTGTAAATAAATTGTATTTCAGTTGAAGGAAAGATCATTTTATTGTTTAAAAAAAAAAGTCTCAAAAATATGTTCTGAAAAATCCTTTTAGCTAATTTCAAGTTTCCTAAGGAAAAACAGTAAAGATTACTGGTTTGGTTGAGTTTAAAATCTGCCCTTTGACATCTTTTGTAATTGTGGGGATTTTTTCTTTATTGTAATCTTAAATACATGTTGCCCTTTTTGCCATGTCTCAAAATTGTAATTTTCTGGACCATGGCAGATGTTTTTTTTCTACTGGAGGACTGATCATTTCTAGCCAAGAACTGTCACTATGCATGTTTTCAACTCTCTTTGTTCTATATGCTGATTCTTCAGCTCTGTGTGGTAAAATGTATCTAATATGCTTATTCGGTTATTTATTGGAGGGGGGCTTGCAATCTAATCATGTTATCTGTGCCTGCCTGTTGAATTTCATTTTGAGATTCTGTGAACTGTGGTTACAGAAGGAACAATAATTATCCATCGTTAACTGAGAACACTGAAGTAAAATGGCCTCTGAGGTTACCTTTTTTTAAATGCTCTTTCTGAATTGGTTTCCTAGATTTCAGTTTTGTAAAAATCACTTAATTTGAGGAATACTTTCCAAAATTACCCCATCACTGTGTGCTTTTGCCTTTAAGTAGACTTCTTTCAAATATTTAAATAATGTAATTGAATTTGGTTGCAACATCAGGGACAGATACAGTGTCTTGTTCTCTGTGAAATTTCCTCTTCATTCACATAACTGTCTGATTACTTATACGTAGTGCCATATTGACATTCTCTACTGCATGTATCTTTGAATTTCCTTCTCTTTGTTTTTCTCGAATGTTATTATATGGAGTAAATGTTGATAACTACTCATAGCAGTGGTGCATGCTGGTCACATTGGCTTTCTCCTTTACCTCTTACACATCCATTTTCTCCTTTTCCTGTGACTAACTGTGCTCCCCTCCCACTCCCCAACCATCTAGGCACTCTGCTGCCAGTGACTGCTGTGAACGTGCTGGAAACCAGTGGAAAACAAGGGCCTTGTCCCCACCCCAGCCTGCACATAGAAACTACACTGACTTTGTCCATGAGCACAATGTGAAGAATGCAGAAGTCTACCATGATGTTTATTTTCCTGGCCGTGGAGCCATGACTGAGATATGAATCTTAAACCTTTTAGACATTGGGACTCTTTGACAAGTTATGATGGTATTCAAATTAACAGTGTACATTTTCTAGTCCTTATAGAGGACTGATCACACTAAGAGTATCTGGAAGAAGTTATTTTATGTTGAGTCATTAGTAAATCTTATTATTTGTAGTTGAATTAACAGAAGGGAAAAGGATTTGAAGAAACTATATGCCATCGGTGAAAATGACAAATGTGTTTGTGTTTAGAAGGATATATTTATCATTATTACTATGTGGAAAGATTTCATGTTAACACACATGCAGGAGATATCTCAGTAGAAGGTCTGTGCTAATAATCAGGTGGTCCATTATAATTCCACCCTTTGCCACTGAAATAAATCAAGGTTGAGAATCAACACAATAAAGCAGGCTCAGAAGGGACCATGTGCCAGGCATAATACATCAGCCTTTGGTGATATTTATATAAAACTGCTCTTATACACTATTTTTAATACTTAGATAAACTGTTTGTAAAGTGGTGGCCCCTGCCTTAGTTTCTATTAACTGCCTAATATTCTGTAATTTTAATCAATGTAATTTTTAATTTATGACACTTTAGTAAACACAAGTATTTTAAGTTTCCAGAAGATGTGGAAATGACATTAATAATGTAATTCATGTAGAGAGATAAATCTGAATGGTACTTTTGCATGATTAACTGGTTAACTGAATGATTACATTACTTGGAATGGCTGTACAAAGTGGAAAGTTTATATACTTCTGTCTTTTCACTTTTTCTCTTTCATCTCATGCATTGATAGATTTCCCAGGTTTTCACCAACCTCATAATCTGGCCTTGTACTACTTTTGAAATAAAATTCAGAAGCCGAAACCACTACTTTTAAATGGATTGGGTATATTACAATTTTTGATCCTTTATGAAATTCAGAATATAATTATCTAGGCTCTTTGGTGTAATTCATAGAGGTAAATTATTTGGGAAAAGTATATTTATCATGTAAAGGATGTATGATATAAGGGAAGCGTTTGTGTTTTTAGAATTTTTAACAAAGTTTCTTAACTTTTAAACCAAGTGTGTAATAATTTGGAGATATTTTATGGAGAATTTGAGAATTCATAATACTTCACGATAATGAAGTTTTATTATAAATAACTTAGCCTGCTTACCATTCTGCCACCTCAGAGGTCAGTCTTATCCATCTCTGCTAGCCAAAGATAAAGACCTTAGAGGGTTTTAGAACTAAATTGTTGGTTGTAAATATAATACAACTTGTCAATAGAAGATGTAAGTAAGCAGCACTAAGTAGTATTTAGGGAATGAGGTTTATAGGCAGGTTTCAATCTGTGAGTTTATCACAATCATATATAAAGGATTAGATGCTCAAATTTTTAATAACCCAGCTCCCTGACCCTATGAGTCTATCATTTAGTGTGCCTAACCGTGGCCACTAATGTATTTCCCGTTATAGTTGTTTTAGACTTTGTGTCGCTCAAATTATAATGGTCAAATACAGTCAATGCATATCCTTTCTTGAAAGAAATTTGAGTAACTTTTTGTGCCATTCAAGAAAAGGTTTCATAGGTGTGAATATGATTAAGAGCCTATTTCTGTAATAGAAAAAAGGAGGTATAATAATTATAAAACTCTTCCAGTCTTTTAGAAGCCTCAAACTTTTGACTTCTTTTAAATTAATCTTGAAGTCTGAAGCTTAGACTGCTGATAGAACGCCTCATTTGTATCTTAGCAGAATCTTAACTTTA